GTATTTCGGTTTGCTAGTATTCCCGATGACCAAATAGATAATAACCAACGTACGACTGTAGTAATTGGCTTTGTTAGTAATCATATGGGAGAAGAATTCAATCAGTTTGGATTTGCTTGGGTAACTATAATTCAAAAATTTACTAGAATACCAAATCATAGGAGTGAAGGAACTGCCCTTCAATTTAATCATTTGGATTTTATTACTGCTAATATTCATTAGTTGTTTACGTGATACATCAGCAAGTTGTTTTTTTATAAACTTTATATAGCTCTATGAAGTTACATAAATATTATATAAAATTTTTATATAGGGTTACAAACCCAATGTAAACTTATTTATATGTAAACTACTGTATGTAATTTTTATATATAATTTTATTTATTATTTATAAAAATATCAAATCTATGTAAATTTTATTTATATCTTAATAAAAATAATTTAATTTACTTTGGCCATTTCTCAAAAGTGACCAAGGTATTCACCGATCAATGTACTAAGTAAAAATGTTGGGTAGTTTGAAGAATCGTGAACCCATTCATATCACATTTATATAATCATTTAATGTATAATTTATCACTCTCTATATAATCACTTATAATATATAAATATTATTATCACGTGGATATGTGTTACGTATACATATGTAACACAAATGTGGATATTACATACTACGATTATAAATGTTTAGTTATTCTTAAATATCGGAGACCTAGCAGTTAGGATAAGGGTGTCCTCTAATAAATAACTGAGGCCTAGCAGTTAGGGTAAGGGTGTCCTCTAATAAATATTTGTGCACTCGTTGGTGTTATTATAATGGTGCAAGCGAGCCGACAGGCGTAGCGAAGCGATCAAAGAAATTCATAAAAAGTCTGCTCGGGTTGCGTATTTAAGTTAGTACGTACGTACTTATTTTTGAATATCTGTATCACCGGAATGTTGATAATCACGTTACCTAATGATGATCGTAGCTACATATATAACTTATTTTTTAATAAGGAAATTAAACTTGGAGTAGTAAGTAAAGTTGTTCAGAATAACGAGTTGCATATACTCTTAAGATTTTTAGGAATTTTAAATTAAATTTTATTAAGTCTTATCCGGCAAACTCTTATGATTATAGATTTATTTTTGTGATTTTTTGGTGTGTTATGTCGTAATCATGTTTATTCGAATTAAAACTCAGCAAATCACGACTTGAGAATCATGATCATGAATTGCCGGATAACACTAATATTGATCATGAGAAATAAAAAATTGTTATCCGGCAAACTCTTATGATCATGAATTGCCATCTGTCTTGTTATTTTTTCATGTATTACGATGTAATCATGTTT